CTATAGGCCAGTCACGTGCTCAATTTTGATTGGCCAAGCATATAGGGTCGCCATGGCGACCCGTCGCCATAAACTAATGCCCAAAAATAAAATAATGTTTTTTATATTATTCATTTAGAAAACAACACCGGAAAGGGTAAACAACCCACATTCATTTATTTACAAAAATCTACCAGAATGGAAAATTCTGATAGAATTGAGGTTGAAATAAATAATCAAAATTCGTTTGCCCACTATCAAAAATCAGCCTGGATGGGTAATTAAGGCTCAAATTTGGATTGAGTCAAAAAATAAGTTGATAATTTGTTTACTTTGTTGTGTTATTTATTTAAAAATGATGCTAAAATGAATGAACATCAAGCATTTATTAATTTTCAAAAATCTGCTGAAACGGGAGAGTCCAGTGGAATTGGAGTTAAAATGAATGAACATAATGCATTCATTCATCACCAAAAATCTGCTGAAATGGGAAGCAGAATTGGAGTTAAAATGAATAAACATAATGCATTCATTCATTACCAAAAATCTGCTGAAATGGGAAATGGAATTGGAGTTGAAATGAATGAATCTAACGCATTCATTTATTATCAAAAATCTGTTGGAACAGATGATATTAGTGAAAGGTCCGTAAAATCGTTATGATTTATTGAGATTATTTCGAATTTAACTAGCGTGAATTTTTTTAGAAACATTGAAGAAACATTTCAAATGCCCAAAGGTTGGGCATCTCCCGCAAATGCTAAATTCGGAAAAAAGGGCGGAGGGCAAAGAATCAAAGCGAATGTACAATTTTTTTTAAATGGAAATCTAAACCCCAAGGATAAAATGACAGCCAAGGAGATGCGTAAGGAACTGTTGAGGTTCGCGCATTCTGGGGAAATTGAAAAGGGCCATGTGCCCAAAGTAACCACAATCCAAAACTGGATTGGTCGTTATTCTAGGGAATTTGATCAACAAGAAACAGCCATCGCACTTGAAACTTTTAAAGCTGTGAGTTCTCCGAATGAAGAAAATTAGTAAGTATTTGTACTTCATTCTATTATTCTAAATATCAAATTTGACAAAAATTCATCAAAAATAGGGTTAAGAAAAACGAACTTAAGACGTTCGTTATCATCAAAAATCTGTTGATATGTGAAATTCTGATACAGTAATAGATCAGGTTGGTTATTATTAGCAAAATGGAATTGTTAAAAAGATAAATAGATTGCATTTATTTGTTATCAACACTGCTAAATACTACATGTAAATGGAATATAATGGTTTTGCTATAAGTAGAATAAAATTGAAATATTTCACATAAAATAAAAATTTTTGTTTTATATAATAGAGATATATAATACCTGATACTAAATTCATATACTATACACACTATTTATTATATATTTATATAATACTACATACGCCTTATTACACCCGAGTTGATCTTAATAACACAGTAATCGAAACGACAATGAGAGTTATTGCCCATTTTTTCGAAGTGGGTACAGAAAAAAAAAAAACTTGTAAAATTACATAATGCTAATACAATATACAATTAATTCGGATATGATTCAAATGCCTTTTCCCATCCTTTGCCAATTCAGTAGCAGTTTCCAAGATTACATTGATCATTCGAATTGCTACCTTTGACAGTTTTCAAATACCATACAACTGCCCTTTGGTTGCGCCTATGTCTTCGTCATAGCAGACTCCAACTTTAAATTGTCCGTTCGAATTACCATTAGATAAATCTGTAAGTGTTAATAGAAAAATAAAAAACATGTTTGATTAGTTGGAAGTTGGGTTATCTCTTAACTGGTCAAATCAAGAAAACATAAATTTGACCGGTTATTTTATTTTTTTTTTGACCCTTATTATGGCCCCGAGGAAGATGTATTTAGGAATGCCTGACTGTAATATAATAACTCATAGGTCATCATAAAGGTTTCTGCAAGTTTTCTCGCGAGACGGTGTAGTGGACGCCGATATTTTTTGATTGCAAACATGTAAATAATTGTGAAGTAGAAAATTACACTATTTCGTGGAATAATAAATAATTTTACCTTTTTTTATTGCAACATAAATAAATTTGGTGATTTCATATATCTTTTTAAATAAAACAAAGAAAAGTTGAAATCGAAATAACTAAAAACTTTGAATTATTCTGGCCCGAATGTGCATGTCTTACTGAGTAAAGTCTCGAAGTTTTACAGTAAAGAAGAAATTTACTTAACTCACTCATTCTACGGGTTATATTCTATTGAATTTGAGAAATAAACGTCGAATTTATTTGAAGATAATGTTAACTTATTATAAGGTCAAAAAGACGTGTCAGAAGTTCTTTATAATTGATCGCCGCCGTGTAACCATATAAAATTTGTACCCTTTAACTGCGATCTACCAATTAAATGTATTTTACTATGCGCATTATATGTATTTGGGTAATTATAAGCATTTTATAAAAGCGAATTTGCTTTATGCTAAATTTGCCCAAAACGAATTTGTTTGATTAATTCTGCATGGTAGTGACTGGACTCGTATTAACTCGTGACTCGTGAATAGTGATGCGGTAGAATCGTCCCAATGATGGTCGTCACCAGTGTCTGAAATTCAATTTTTAATTTAGTTGCGGGCCGCAACTAAATAAAAAATTTTACTTGCAGATTATATGGACTTAGTTGCGCATATGAATGTATTTATCTGCAAATTCGAACATATCTATATGCAAATTCACAAAATTTACTTGCGGAACCAGCATATACATTTCGGATTTTAGTTGCGGAAACTTATAAATCATTTGCGGTCCGCAAGCTCCGCAAGCTCCGCAACCCAATTTCAGACACTG